GTTATAACAACACAGGTATTTGAGGGTCTGTGTAGCGTGGTGGATGGGGAAACTGTGTTCAAACTAGCTGTGCAGATACCATTGGAGGGTTTGCATTGGTTGTGCTGTTAGGATGTGGTTTGGAGGGTGCAGATCAAGTATCACGAATACTTCCCTTCTGTGGTCAGAGAACTGCTGATTTCTGAATATCCTCATTGCAGAACCTGTGATTTCTGGTGTTTGTTATAAAGGCAGGATAGCTCATGGTTACTGAACATGACAGTTAGACATTTGTCCTAAAGTTAGGTAAGGGAAGGTTGAGCACCAGTGCACCTCTGGCTTTGATGGTTGCCATTGCATTTGAGCTTCATCTCGTGGAAAGCAATTTAACAAATTGGTGGTCTTCAGTGATGCATCTGGTGGCCAGGAGGGGCTGAGGTCACAGCTGGCTCAGGAGGTGGCTGGGCCATGGGCAAATGGCTTGTCATGTCTGAGGACAAATCTTGTAGAAAATCTGAGGTGTCTTTGTTTGCTTGTTTATTACTTGCTGCATGCATTTGGGCTTGTGCGTGTGTCTGTGTATGTACATGCACCATCTGCATATGAACTTCCTAATCTTGAACTTGTAAGGGTTTTTTTAGGCTGTAAAGAGAAAATTTTTCCTTTTAAAATTTTATACTATGTGTGGTTTGAATCTTTTCTATAGTAATGCTGAGACCGTAGCTTCAGACTCTGTGCAGGATGTTCTTTTATTATCAGACAGAATAACCTTAACTAACCACTGCACGAGTGCAAATGTGTGTTTAGTCCTGGATTTCTGTTGTATTTTAAGTAAACCAGGATATGTGGCTCTACTAGGTATTAGAAAGCTGTCATCAGAATTCATCTTTGTAGTACTTTTGTAACTCCAGATGACTGATAAAAAAGCAGAACTCGCTGTTCAGTAGATTTTAATGATCTTCTTCAGGAAAATAAAAATTGAGCCTTTGCAGAGAAGGGGTCACAGGACTGAATAGTCAGAACTCTTCTTGCTTTTGCCAGGTTCTCAGAATTTGACTGCTGTAGCTCGAAAAGGTTCTTCAGCTTTGTAATAGACAGACAGTGGAAAAAAATCCCGAAAAGAAGAATGTTCTTGGCTTATAGCCCCATTAATAGCATGGGTAAGACCTGCTAGGAAAAGCAGGACTTGGTTATCTTGATGTGGTTCACACTGCTTTTGGAATTTCAGGAGAACTCTGACATAACCTGTTAGGTCATATTAATTGACCATACATACTCATTGGTTTTTAGATAGTTACAGTTTGTTCTTCTGTGTGTTTAAATTTTCTCTCTAGTGCCATGTGCAACTAATTTATGTATTACGAATTCACATATTGAATTAATTTAAGGAAACCAAGTCATCTCAGTGATCAATAGAAGGCTGCAGTACTGAACTGGAAATCAGGTTTGTAACAGTAACTTGCAAACTTCAAAAGGCTTGTAAGTTTGGTTTGGAGAGAGAAACATCAAACTTGGATGGTTCTCTACAGCAAGATGGGAAGCTGTGATTTCCCATATTCCTGGAGGTAGCTAGACAGGGAGATGCAGCCTCTTGCTCCATGTTGGCATTGCTGTGGTCCGTTCCAGCCAAACCTAGGGAATGTAGACACACAGGAAATATCTTTTTTAAATTTAAATATAGTCAGCTTTCTAGACAAAACCCCAAATTTGAATTAGTACCTGAAAAATAAGCTGTGGGTTAGTATTTGGCAGTTCATATTTTAGCTAAGGAAGAGTTTTCATATCCTGAAATGTGACCTGGCTTGTTGAGTTCTTGTCTGGTGTTTTCTCCCACTGATGTTTTGGAATCTACAAGAAAAAGAAGGTGCTTGTGTTCAGACCTCACCTTTGTATCAGTCAAGTTTGCTTATGTGAGCATCCCTTGAGGTAGTGGGAATACTAGATTTTAGGAAGGGTGTGAATGCAAGGTGAATAAATCTCTTTTAAGTAGATTCATCTAGCTCCGCATGAAGTACTTCTATGTCAAATACTGCTAAAAAAAATATAATATGAATGCCTGTGGCCAGCTGTGCTTTGTAGACAGTACTGTTGCTGGCATTATCTCTGGTGGGGTCATACCAGACCTGACAAATAAAGGAAGCCCTTTTTATTTCTTTTTCCTTTTTTTTCCCCCACCCCCTTTAATATGAGGCAAGTATAGACATGGCTGTAGTGACAAACCATTAATAAAGCAAAAGGAATGCAGCTGTAAAACTTTAAATAATGACATGTAGCAAATAAATGTCAACATATTGGTGGTTGTGCTTGGAATGGAAATATTGCTAGGAAAATATGTAGCTTGAAGCTAGTCTGGCTTTTTTTCCTTAAGAAAATAGCATTGGTGTGACGCTTAAGCTCCATTAAAACTGGGGCTTTTGGATTTGGACTAGATGAACACGTCATTTGAAGGGGGGATATTATTTGCATGGGTTTAAAATAGTTCCTATGAATATCACATTTTTTAAAAATAGTCTTTTTTTTTCCCCTATATATGCATAAACGCACACTCTATAGATACATAACTACATGTATAACCAGTGTAGTTTGAGGTACAACTGAGTATTGAGTGAATCAGTCAATTCCCATTGAAAGTTGCTAACTCATAATTACTTTTATTATGCTTTTTTGGTCCTTTTCTTAATCCCAAGTGTTTAAGAAATGGTTCAAAACTTTACATGTTTCTTCTTCTCACTAATTTTAAACAAGCAAATAAAAATCTCAGTTATATTGCCCTGCTCCTTCCCCTCCACCACCAAAACCCAACGCCAATGAATATTGGTTGTGGACTTGGATCTTTCTCAAAATTAAAGCCTGAGGCTCTAAAGTAATGAGAAGCAAAAGATTTAGAAGAATCTCCAAATATTGCAAAACTTCAGGGGGAAATGTGTTGAGCAAAGCTTCTGAGCTGTTGGACAGATTCCTTAGCCCACATAATGGTTGGGTCAGAGCCTTGAATGACTAAAGCAGGGAGGCTTGGGTCATCAATAGACCCATGCCAGATCAGAGAGCTTGATTCTATTGTCTACAGTAGTGTTTAGCAAGTGTCCTTATTCTTTACTCCATGGGTATATAGACTGCAGGGCAGATTATTCAGCATAGTGGTGACAGTAGGACTAAAACACAGCCAGACTCTGGGATGAAGCAGTTGATGCAGGCAGGAGATGGGACTTGAATCCTGGTTGTGGCTGTGCCATCCTCTTAACAGCTGTGTCTCAAGAACTTTCTGAGAAGTGCTGCCTTGTAATTGAGTCTCAAATGAAAGGAGTGATTTCATTTAAAGGTGGATGAAAATAGATTGCTTCTGTTTATATCCCAGTGAAGTGATGATCAGAAAAGTGGTGGTTTTGCATGGATAAGAACATTGGAAATTGCTGTGAAAGTCCTGCTAAATTTGGTACTGAGTTAAATTAAAATGCTGGTCTTGAGAGGTATGGCTGGAGGCAACAGGGCTAAGTTTGCATGTCTTCTGAAAAACAAATACACTTTTAGTCCTTTGGTACTACTCAGATATGAAGGGGGTTTGTGTGATAACAAGTAAAAGATAGATGTGACTCAGTCTCTGTTGGCACCACCATCACTTTCAGATCGCAAGTGGTCTTCTTCAGGGACTGGAATACCAGCTCCTGGTTAGGCTGATGTTTCTGATCATCAGGTTGCTCTGCAGGTGATAGGATTGTGACGAGCTCTAACAGAGACTGGTGATAATGGAGAATGTATTTCAACTAAACTATTTTTGTTGTTAAACTAAAATTATCTGTATCTTTATAAAGTCTAGCAGTACCCGGGGGCAGAGCAGGTATGGTGATGTTAAGGTTGCAGCATCTGTGGACCACATGCTCCAACACTGGTGAGGCTCAAACCTTTGTCTCCTCTGGAACAAATGAATGAAACTCCTGGTTTACAGCTCTGTAGTGAAGTGCTCCGTATAAATACTAGATCCCACAATGCTCTTCCTCATGAATGGGGATTTTCCTGTTGTTCTTTGCCAAAAATTCTCCTCTCTGTACTCTGGTGGTCTTGTGCCAGCTGATTACCTGGCTGTTGACAGCCATCTAAGTCACAGCGTATGTTTTTTTCTAACTCAGATTTGTGATATATATGAAATTATTCAGGAGGACTTTGAGATTCTCTGGTATAAGAGGTACTGAGGAGGCTGCCTGATCAGCACTGGCCCTGTGAGGTGGCTTTGCTTGGGAGTTCTTGTGCAGTACTCTAGATAAGCTTATGTTATTCTATGATTCTGTGATTCGCTAAAGAACTGGATTATTGCCCTATAAAACAGTATGATGTTACTCTTACTGCTGAATTAAGATTTGTTTTTACAAAGCAATCTCCCTGTGATTTTTAGTGGTGCTTACATACCACATGAATTAGCTGTGAAGGGGGAGGGTGTGCTCAAACTGATGTGTGATTCTTCACAAATCTTTAAGAGAGACTGTCTTCTGTGTAACACAAGGTGCTCTGCCTGTGGGGATGTGCTGTCCCTCCCTGTTTTCTGCTTCACCAGAAACCTTGATCCTTTGGATCTCAATTAAGTAGAATTCAGGTGCCTGTTCTTTGTGCTAGAGGTGGCAGTTCACACTGTTTACAGGGCTGTAGCAACATCTAAACCACATGGATGGTGTAGTTCCAAGGGCTGTGGTAGCAAGCAGGATGCCAATTTTTAGGAACAGACCAGATCTCCCTGAAAGCATCTTGGAACTTACCTATTTCAGTGGTGTGATGAGGATTGGGATTGTAATTGTGGGAAAGAGTGGAAATCTGGCTAGTTGGGTTTTGGAAGTCTTGATTGGAAACTTGACACGCTCTCGATCTAACAGTGAAAACTTTTTTCAGTGCCTCAAGTTCCTATATGCATCCTGTTCCAAAAGCAAGTGTCCTCCGTAGGTTACTCTCTTAGTGGCAAAATCCATGCAGATGCCAGTGACCTTCTGAAGTCTGAGTGGGTTTTCCAAGGTCTTTAACTGATGCTTCTCTTGCAGGAAACCCGTCGAGGAAAATCCTCCATGAATGTACGTCACAATGATGATGACCGACCAAATTCCGCTGGAGCTGCCACCATTGCTGAATGGGGAGGTAGCCATGATGCCTCACATCGTGAATGGCGATGGATCACAGCAGGTCAGTGAGCTCTGCAGGAACTGGCTGGTTTAAGTAAACTATTTCTGGGCCACCAAAGGATTCTGGATGGGGAAGAGGGTTTTCCCTAGGACTAGGGAGGGCAGAGTATTTCCTGGAAAGCAGAAATCTGCCCTTACAATGGCATTAAAAGCAATGCTTTAAGCGTACTATTAAATTTAATGTGATTATTTGCATGTACTTTCATTGAATATAAAATAATGGGATTGAAATAATGGCTTTAAATGCTACATACTTGAGAGCTTTGTGGAAAGTTAGTCTCATTATTTACTTGTACCAGCTGATGCCCAGACATCTTGCTATTATCTGTGATGAGATTTTAAGCAATGGAGAATTGAAGATGAGTCCTGTGATGTCTGCTACTCATTGCTTACCAAAATGTACTGATCCCAGCAACCCTATGTTTTATCCTGTGCTTTGTTAGAAGAAGAAGGGAATGGCAAGTTTATAGTTGCTTTCATATTTTTTTTCTGGGAGATATTTTCTGATAAACTTGATCAGAAGTAGATAAAATGGTAATAAGACCATCATGAAGCCTTCATGTCAGGATACAGCCTGGAGGTTCAAGCAGATAGTTGGTAGGTTCCCAAACCTGTCATTTTGAGTTAATATTTCTCCTTGTAGAACATCTGCCCTAGAAGGTTTTTTGGTGTCACTCAGTTTGATTCCCTCCTGATTCTAGCCATTTCAACCAAGGTATATCTAACCTGTCCTTCATGAATCAATATAAAATGTCATTCTCTTACTTCTCATACCCTTGATCATTTGTTCATCCTTCCAAGCTGTGTTTTGAGTTAGACCAACCTCAAGAGGAAGAATAAATTCTGCTTTTCTTGTCAGCTTTTGTTTACCTATCTTGGTTCTCATTATAATACAGATTTTCATTGCTGTGATTTTTTTTTTTTTGTAGTGATTTCTGCACAGTGTGCTTCAACTTGGAAAAATAAAAAAGAAAGCTTTTAATGGCTCTATTTAGTTAGTCCAATATTAATATGCTTAACTGAAGGAACAAGCTTGCTGATACTGGATTGGAGAATTGTTGTTTAAATACGCCCTTTTCCTTCTTGCTGGAAACCATTTATCAGGTTAGACTGTCCTGTGGGTCCTCCTGTATATCAGAAAGAATGAATGAAGTCTTCTGAGCCCTTCTTTGAGATGGGACTCTTAAGTCCAATCTTTGAGTTTCCCCATCAGTGATGATTCAGAAGCCTAGCTTGGCAAATGCCTCCATTGCCTTTAAGCTAGCTTTTCATCTCATGTTTTGGAGTAAAAAGAATGACTGGCGTACTGGAATTGAAATACTTCTAGCTTTTGCTGTGCTATGCCAATATGACTCAGCAGAACAGTTCTGGACCAGAGTCCGTTTCTGCATAAATGTTGGATGCTGCTTGTAGACCTCATCACCGTATCTCTTTAAGTACTTGTAGGTGGAATACCAATTTTCTGTGAGACTCTTTTTGGCTTCTAGTCTGTGTGTGCCCTCATATGTTGCAAAGTGTAGCTGCCTTTATGCATTATCACTTTCATCCTGTCCCTGAAGGTTTAGTTGGTGTCTTTGTTTAAAAGTACAGTTCTAAATGGAATGAAATTTTAGTTACTTGTAAGGCAGGAACATCCTTCAGATTAGATTCGCATAAGAATGACTTCCTTAGGAAAGGTGGTTCATATTACTCCATGGATAGGTGCTAATTTTATAAGGACATGTGTTTTTCCAGGGTGTAATTACAGTCCTTGTCTCTATTAGAAGTCAGAAAGCATCGTAGCAGAGCTGGTGGGAGACATGTCGCATGGTGTTTTCCAGACTGCGAGTGGCTAGTATGCAGACCAATGCCTCGTGCTGACAGTACTTGCTTCTGATGAGATGCTCTGAGTGTGCTTGCTGTTGCTTACCTTTATGTGTTACTGGATATGTGAAGCCTCAGCCATGCTGGCATGGTAGAGTTGTCCTATAAGCTGCAGCTGGAAATGCAGAGCTTCAGATTTTCTCAAAAGACCATTCTTGCATATGTAGAAAAGAGCAGACTGAAGATGGTGTAACACCTTAGCTTTACCAGCAGCCAGAGGGAGAGCGATTCAAAAGGCTGTTCTGCCATTAACAGTCCTGCACTGTAAGACAATTGCATAGAAACAGTCAATTGTTTTATCTTTCTGGGGGTAAGTGTACAGAGCAGAGCTAGGAATGTCTGCTTGACAGTAATCCCTCTTCTCCAGACTACCCAAAATTGTGCACTGGCTATTTCTTTATTACTTTTTTTTTTTTAATTAAGTTTCCCACACTTAATTTCCATTGCTGCTGACTGTATTTAATGCTTTCATGTCACTTCCAGAGCTGCTGCTTACTCTCTTTCTGCTTCTAATCCACTTGTAGCTCCTGTGGGGATTCAGGGAGTGATAATTAACCTTTTGGTCCAAGAATTTCCTGTAGGTACTCCACTGCAAGCACTGAAAAGCTTAGAGTATAAAGTGGAGGGGCAGCTCACAGTGCCATAGCACATCTGTACAGGATGGCAGGCAATTTAGTTCAGAAAGTTTTTATTTCAGCTTGGTTCACTCACTGTAGCCGCAATGGCGTAGCAAGTTGTCTGCTTGCCTGCTCTTTGTAAAGGTGTTTTCACCAAACCTTGTTTTTATACTGTTTGGCTCAAGCCCAGGCACTGTATGTAGTGCTGTGTGTGCATGTTCTTGTCTTTTAGGGCCACACAGCTTTCAGTAAGGGAGACAAGAGTATGTCTGAATGAGGAACAAGATTTGATATCTTCTGGTAGCACAGTTATGTGCGCTTCGCAAAGAGGTTGATAGTGTTTAGCTGTACCTGAACAGCACCTGAGCTGAGTCAATAAACTTTGTGCCAAAATTTAGAGTTACTTCTTCATACTTTCTTGAAAATTTTTATCGATACTTGCAGAAATGTCCTTGGGGGGGGGGGGGGGGGCGCTGTGTGGAAATATTTGCTCACAGGAAGCTTGTTTGAGAAGGAAATTGTTTATAACTTATATACATCTAAGATACCTGAGTTGAGAGGCATAAGTCCATAAAAAATGTCCATCAAGGGATGATGTAACCACTTGTTTGGAGTGTGTTTAGCTTGTGATAAATTAAGGGGTTTAGGATCTGCCACTTGTGGGCTTTGCTATCAGTAGCACTCATTGTACACTGAATTACTTCATGCCTCTATTTTCAGTACTATGGAAAAAAAGGATAGTTAAGCCCAGAATACTATCATCAAAGTATTTGTTTTTGAAAGTTACTGTTGTATTATTTAAGATGTAGCATGTTTCCTAGTTTTTCTTACTGAAGGGAAGTTTAAAGTATTCATCCTCTCTGTTCCTGTGCAGCTGAGATGTACATTTCTGGGAAGAATATTGCTCATAGAATGGTGCGAACTCTTCGGTCCTTCCTGCAGGACAGAGCTGTAAATTCATGGAGATCTGGGGCACAGTCTTTTAAAGTAGATTAGAGATTGGCCCAAAGAGATTGATTTATTTATTTTTTTTGTGTGTGTGTTCCCATCTCCCCCCCCCCCCCCCCCAAAAAAAAAATAATTGTAATATATTCCACTGTAGAAATTGTAAATACAATAGATATTAGTAATTCATAGCATTTGTGAGGAACCTATGGCTGGACTGCAGGTCATACTTGTGATGCTGTGTGTGTGTCCCCCTCACCCCGGCTCTAGGAAGCATTTATCACATTGAAAAGTGCTTAAGGCAAGGTTTTAATGAGCCAAAGCAGTGCAAGCAGCTGACCTTAGCAAGGAAAAGGTTCTCATAAAGTGAAAGTATTTTACAGCAAGCACTGTATTGTATTGCATCACGTGGGTGCAAGTGAATGTATTCCCACTTGCTGCTACACTTGCTCTCACTAGTGATCTGCAGCAGAACAGCTAGGAGATGATGATCTCTTTTGAATATGGATTTTCTTCTGTATGCTTAAAAAATAAACCAGTACTGTACAAAATAGACAATAGCATGTGCTCTTGGTCCTTATCAGGTGACATTTTCTATCTTAGTATGAGACTGTTTACCCACATAGTATGTAGCTCATATTTAGCTGAACCTGAGCTTTAAGCCTGTGCTGGCCTTTGCTGTGAGGTTTGTTAGTCTCCTCCCCTGCTCCCAGCAGGCACAAGAGTCAGATAGTAGGAAAATGGAGGGACAGGAGTGTTGTGGGTTTACCTCATCATGAAAACTTAGCCTGGACATAGAGCAATTGTTGCCAGATTGGGTGTGTGATTATAAATATTTATAGTAACTATGCAACTTAGTAACATTATTCAGTCCTAACAAACATGACTTTAAATAAAATACAATAACATTCTTAAATATAAATCTACGAATAAGTGTGTTACGGAGATAGCAAGCTGTCTCTGAGGATGCTGCAGGTAAGGCTGGGCTTCCACACTGAGTGGATTAAACTGCTAAAGCAAAGATCTGAGTACTTCTTAGGGGGTAAGAAAAAGCCTTTTTGGGATTGTGTTGCTGACTCCATACTTGCAGCTGTCACAAGCTCTAGCTTTTTGGATGGGAGAAGGCCAGGGGGCTGAAACAGGGCTGAAGATCATCAGATGCTGGTCCCCACCCTCATGATGCTGCTGGCCAACAGTCTAGGCTCAAAGTGACTTTTGAAGTTACCTCTGTTCTTACTTCCATCTCATGAATGTGTGTCCTTGGGATGATGAATACTGGAAGAGATGCAGGGAAATTGTTTGTTTTCATTAAAATAGATATTATCCTTAGCCTTTTTATTGCTTTCATCAAATTTTTAATTACAAGCTTCAGAAACAAGGCATTCTCATGAAGATTCTTTGTGTGGAAAGGAAAGAGAAAAGATGCATTCCAGGCTGCAGACTATGTTTTTGTTATTTAAGAGGATGTAGGGAAAAATAAATCTTTGAATTAGTTTGACATACTTAGTGTGTATTAACAAAAGAAGTCACGGTGTGCTTCAGTATTATTTGTCCCAGGCAATTGGGATAAAATGGGGGTGATGGCTGGAAGATGCCCAGTATCTTATGCTTGCCGTGTCCTGGCTTTAATGGTTTGACCTCAACTCAGCAGCTTGTTAGTTGGTGCTTTGCAATTGCGAGCTCTCAGGGGGTTATATGTGGCACAGGATGAGTGCAGAGGGATTTAGGTGGTGGGGTGGATAACAGGGCAGACCCCAGCACCCCAGCTTTGGGCAGGGAAGGGAGGCTGGGGCTAGGCTTGCAGCCTGCTTGGAAGGGGGATGCTTGCAGTATGGAATAAGTGTGGAGTCTTGCCTTGGGAGCACCATGATTGTTGCTCCTGGGTCTGAGGCTACCCTTGGATATGCGTGCTCATGTGTTGGCTGTGTTCCCTTTGCATCCAGCACTTCCTCCACATCCAGTCCTTCCTTCAGTGTTAACCCACATCATTCATGTGCTGGCTATTCCTGTTTGCTCTTGAGATAGCTGATCTTCCCCAGCAACAGCCTGTTTTCTTCTGCTCCAGAGGTGGCTAATTTTGAGCATCACTGTAGAAGAATGTCTTTTAGTATCTTCAGAACTTCTCAAAACTGCTTTCCTATACCACTGTAGCCAGAGGCTGATTTCTTCACTGTTTAAGAAACCCTGCATAGATGGAAGTGGCCTTTTCAGCTATACAGAGAGGCTTGGCGACTCAGGGCCTCAGGTTGTCTTCTTGCTCTTTGGCCTCTTAATTCTTCTAAAATTTTGCTTAACTGAATGAATTTCAGAAATGTTTGGTATTTCTTCTTCTGTAGCTGAAGAGCTCAGGACAAGATCCTGGGTGAAAATATTTTGTGGTCTCTTGTCTTTATTGGGCTGTACGTAAAATTTAGGAAAAGCAGTATGGTCCCTACTCCAGATGGGCCGGGTAGAGATGGCTGTTGTTATCCTGCACCATTCAATAGGCAAATTTGTTTTTTTGCTTCCTAACCAGCGTAATCCATGTTTTGTGGCAGTAGCTGGTACTGAGTTGGGCTATTTCCTCTTTTTTTTTTTTTTTTTTTTTATGAAATCTTTAAGCTGTTGTACTCTGTGAACTGACAGTGGCTGCCCTTCATTTTAGCCACCATAAGCAGCAGCTGTTATTAGAGATATTATCTTTTTTAAGGCAGAAACCCAATGATTTGTTTTCATAGCACAGCTACGGGGATGCTAATGCAGATGTATGCACTAGTGACTCATTGAAAAGACATTTGTAAATCACATCCTTTTGATAACTCTGAGGTAGGCATATGCCTCACGTAGGAATCCCTCTCACACAGCCTTTAAACAGTCTGCCATTAAACTTAACTCCCTGCTTTTGGGAGAAGATGGAGCTGTTCATCTATGAGACATGGATCTAGTTTGGGTAAGGAACATGGAGTTGTTGCAGGGTGTCCAGAGGAGGCCACAAAGATGATCAGAGTGTTGCATCACCTCTGCTACAGAGACATGCTGAGAGAGTTGGGCTTGTTCGGCTTGGAGAAGAGAAGGCTTCAGGGAGATCTCCAGGGAGCTATAAGCACACTTTCAGTGCCTGAGGTGGCCTGCAAGAAATCTGGAGAATTTCTCACAAGGGCATGTAGGGATAGGATAAGGGGAAACGGCTTTAAAATGAAAGGGAGTAGATTCAGATTAGACATTAGGAAGAAGCTCTTTCCTGTGAGGGTGATGAGGCAGTGGAACAGGTTGCCCAGGGAAGCTGTGGCTGCCCCATCCCTGGCAGTGTGCAAGGCCAGGTTGGTCGGGGCTTTGAGCAACATGATCTAGTGAAAGGTATCCCTGCCTATGGCAGGTGGGGTTGGAACTAGATGATCTTTAAGGTCCCTTCCAACCCAAACCATTCTGTTCTATGATTCTGTGTATTCTAAGGAGTTGGACCAAGTTCTTCCAAAGGTGTAACATTGTGCTAGGGCATCAATCATGTTAATAAATAACCAGCTTTAGAGATGTTGATTTAAACGTATAATACAAATGAGATAATGGGATATTTTTGTTATTCTTTGCATCTTTGTGTTCAGGTTTCTGAATTCTGGTTGGGATTTTTGTAAGCTGAATGACATTGCTTTGCTCTGCTCTTCTTTTGACCTGATGCCCATATCCTGTTGCGGATAATTCATGCCTATTCATAGCAAAAGCACACTTAAATGGTGTGACTTAAATGGTGATTGTTCAGAGGTTAGGGATGGGATGGCTTTTGCCTCTTATCTTTTCAGAACCATTTATTGTGCTCTGTATGCTGGATCAGATCCATCTTGTTCAGTGCTCCCCAAGAAGCGGACAAAATAATGGCTTTCATATGTCATTTTTCTGATTTCCAGCTTGTGCTTTAAAAACATTGCTGGAATAATGGGGTTTTGTAAGATTACTGTAATTCAAAGGTCATCTTGGTAATAATTATTTTACATATTTAGTTTAAGGAATTCAGAAACACAACATTAATTCAAATTCTGTCTTTCCAGATTGAATGATTAAATTCTGCGTTCAGGTGTCCCAGAATATAAAGACCAGACCTAAATCTAGAGAGTGTTCACAAAAAGATAGAAATCTAATTTTAAATTCATACCAAAATTAAGCCAGATTTCTATCCAACTTCTGACAATGCAGAGTTAACGGAAGTGTGTTTAAAGTATTTGAGTAGAAGTTTTGCAAGTAAATGATCATGAGTTCCCAATGAAACTCTTCATTAAAGAAAGAAATCTAAGCCATAAGTTTTAAAACCATCATTTTAGACACCTGAAAAATAATAAAGATGTGTGCAGTGTGCACTGAACTGGGATATGTTTTGGTGCTCCTTGGTCTTTGTAGCATTCCCGTCATCTGCAGAATTCAGCAATGAGAGACTGAGGTGATATTTTGATGATTTACAAAACAAAAATAATTGTTACTGAAGGAATAGCTTATCACTGGTTCTGTGTGCAGCAATTGAACTGTGTGTCTGTGGGTTTTGTTTAACTGAGGTCTGTTACGTGTAAGACTGAAGGATAAACTCTTAAAAATGTAATGTTATAAACTCCCCTTAGACTGCAAAAACCCTGGTGTTCCTGTGAACTTGAAATCCCGGTATGGCTTAGTGCTATGTGTGGGAGTTTATGTGCTCTCTTCTCTTGTGCACCAGTGCTCTGAAGATTTATATTCTTAGCTATCAGCATTAGGCTAAGTTAAACACGCTGTCAAGAGTTTGGTGGTGGAACCCAGAACCATAATTCTCACTTGCGCGCAACTGAGTTAAGTCTTTATTTCAGCTCTTAAAATTTAGATGAGTAGATAGACTTTTAAATCTCTACTGGCTTTTGGACCCTGTTGATACCCAAAGATACGGTATGCCATTCTGTTTCTTCCCTCCCCCCCCCCCATTTCTTCCAAAGTGTGGGTAACACAGTAGTTGGGTTGGGGAAATCTGATTTTTGAAGACCACAGTGAGACAAATGTATGCTTTTTTCTTTTCCCAGGTCTTTTTGGTTCAAGTTAATCCAGGTGAAACCTTTACAATAAGGGCTGAGGATGGAACCCTGCAGTGCATCCAAGGTAAGAGGGCACATGAATGTGTGGATGAGCACTGCTTATGTTGCAGAATACTTGTTCTCTCATCTCTACAAAAACACAATACAGAGTTCTGAAAATACAGCACTTATAAGAGTGAGAAGTTGAAGACATGGCTGCTGGACATATTATAGGACTTTAGTATCTCAGAATGAGTCATAAATTTCTTGAAAGTCCAGGAGTTTTCTCTCCGTTCAGTCATTTATGAGTATTTTTTATTTTTTCATATATGTCTACTTCCTTAAAAGCAAAGAGTAAATACAAATGAGAGATCCCAAGTTAGACTGAAAAGTAGTAACAAATTAAGTGAATATCTGTGGAGAAACTATTTTGTTTTAATACAGGCTTCCGGAGGGACAGAAAAGTACAGACGCTGCAGAATGCTTGGAGAAGTCAGACTGGTTTTGAGGAGAATATTAAATTGGTTCTTTAGCAGCAGAGCCAGTTAATTATGTAGTTTTGAATAAAAACACGTAAGCAGTCATTCGACGGCTGTTTTACCTCTCTCTAAAATTGTGCAAATATGATAAATAGTCCTTGTGGTTTTTAGGAGAGGGAGCCCACACAATCTTTTAACAGGTCTGAAGGGAGAAGCAACAAAGACCTTTCAGACTGTATATTATGTACTGTGGAAAGGTTTCTAACTAGTGGCAAATGCAGCTTTGAAGTGAAGCAGGTATTTCCCTAGGTATAACACTACCTACAGTAAATACAGGCAGGTTAAATCAAAGTTTAAAAGGAATAGACTTTGTGTAGCTGTACTGCGAATATTGTTTTCAGTGATACTTTTTGAGCTTATGCCGTTGTCTTAATTTTTTGAGAAGGGAGGTAGGTGTTGCCTCCCCTATCTTTTCCACATCTTATACCATTAAGCAGCAATCTCAATGGGCTATTCATTCAAAAGCCTTTGCTAAATGTGATGGGGGGAGGGGGAGGAGGGGAAAGAGGGGAGAAGTCCATTTAGTAACAATTATATAGCTAGTGAACTGCCCCTGTATTTTGACTGTGAATTTCAGCTCTATCAAGGCAGACTGTTCCTTTGACTTCATCAAATACTAAAATTGTAGTGCTCAGAGGTAACTCTGCTTTTTATTAAAACTTGGTTTAGAAGGGACCCTGGAAGTCACCTTACCCAACCTTCTGCTGAAAGCAGGAATAGTGTGAGGGGTGGATGGGATTGTCCCCAACATCCTGAGTTGTGAAGCTCTGTGAAGATGGAGTATGCTCCTCGGAGGAACTGTTCCAGGGCTGCACCACTCTCATAGGGAATAGTTTGTCCTTTATGTCTCTAAAATTTCAAATCTTGGTGCCTCTTTGCATCTTTTTGGTGGCCCCCCCATTTAAACAGAGGAGGAGTTGGTGGTTGTTGCTTGAAATTTCATTCCCAGGGAATGATGAATTAATAGTTGTTTGAGATAGATGTTATAGAAGCTTCCCTGAGCACCATCCAGGATTCTTCAGTCCTGATGAACAATAATAGCAGCAATTTAAAACTGCTTGTTAAGATTTATAGCCAACATGCTGTGTGGTAAGAAATCGGTCCCCGTGGCAATTAACATAGGAATAAAGCTGGCTACTCCCTTTATTTTAAATGAATTCTTTATATTGGCTAGTACATTAAAAATTTCCATTACAAATATAATTATGACACCATTTATTTATGATTTTTTTTTTTTTTCATGCTTAAAAGTGCTGTTCAGCCAGTGTATTTAAGTAAATGCAAGTTGAAACCTCCTGGTTCTGTATTCAGAGTAATTTAATATGTTTGTGCCAGTGAGGCTGTTTGGTACTCCTCAGCAAGTCTTTCATAAAAGTAATTTAGAATTTGTAGCCTAAGAATTGTCTCCTTTTTTTTCGGTAGAGCTCTGCAGTGTTGCCTGCCCAAGCACAAGTCTGTCTGTACACTCTGCAAGTTTGGCCTGAAAATTCTGATATTATTTTGATGCTAAAGCTTCAGCTCCTACTTTGTTACAAAATATTTGTGTTGCTGAAACAAGTACATGCTTCAAACACAGAAGAGCACCTGACTGTAATGTTAATAGTGATCTATTGCAGAAGAAACTGGAATCACCCAGCAAATATACTGAGATTAAGACTTGTGACAGTTCAGTTTTTCCTGGGCTCAGAGGTTATTGAAGACAAGGTTATTTTGTGGCCACTGTTTTTGGAAATTACAACCCCCCCCTTGCTCCACAAAACTTATAGTGTCTTTATTTTATCATTTCGTGTGTTAGAGTATTCAGTCGGTTTAAAGGTTAATGTGTTCCGTAGATGTGGGGTAGCATTCAGACAATAATGATGCTTTTCCTTTGCTCCCACATTACACTATGATTAGCAAGCTGTGAAATAATTTTAGCACTATGCTAAGGCAGCATGTATGCCTGTTAGCTTGTTGAATGGATGATACTCACTTTTTCCTTACTGCCATGTGTTCAGTGCTATGACAGAAGTTGTGCTTGTAAATAGAATTAATTTGTGTTCACAATATGAAGGACTATTTCATAATAAATTCTCTGATTCCCCTAAGTGCAGGAAGAGTGAACACTGTTATTAAAAACTTGAGATGTCATGACTTGGTTACACTAAATGCTAAAAAATCCTATATCCTATTCTTCAGGATATACAAAACCTGCTCTTTTCTTTGGCCTGCGTCTGTTCTGCAGAGGCAGGTAACTTCGCTTATGTAGAGTGATTTTTAATTTTTTTTTTATTTTAATTTTTACCTTTTTTTTTAATTTAGTTTTTATTTTTAATCTTTGTGAAAGCTTTTTTTATATATGTGTCTTTTTGAGAAGTTTGTGCTCCTGGAGCCTGTTTTGGATGTCCTGTGAAACCACCCCTTTGTATCCAGGACCCCACTTGGCTCCATGGTGTATCTGGGCCTGGGTGATGATTGTATGTGTTGGAAGACTGATGTAAAGATAGCAGAGAGAAAGAAGACTTGGTGAATCTTCATTTGTCTTCTCAAGGTTGGAAGAAAGACACTTGTTGGAGGAGAATCTCTGTGGAATACCCTGCTTTAATCACCATGAACTGTAATTAGCCACTAATTGAGTAATTACTGTTTCAAAGCAGAAAGAATAGATTCATATTTAACCAATATTTGATGTTTTTGCATAGTGGAGAAATCCTAAATACAAGAACTTTTTCTAGTTCCTCATGGTTTTACGAGTAAAATAGTCGGTGAAAATTCCCAGCTGAACTAAACTACACCCCTAAAATACTGCAAAGGCGGAATAAATGTGTACTTTTAATTGAACATGCAATGTGTTACCGCAAGTTCTCTCTTCATTCCTGTTTCCTATTTGCATGTAGCTGGAGGTGACTTGTTTAAGATGTTGATTTGTAAGTCCTATAGACCATGGTGGGGAGCTGGATTACTCTGCTTATGGAAATGGTGGTGTCTTGGAGAAGTTTAGCTGGTCAGTGAGCATGAAGAGGGTCTGTGGTTTCCTTGAGAGGTCAGATTTAGAGAGACTGATAAATCTGGTCTTTGCAGAAATTAGCCATTGAGTACAGGTCTCCATGGCACAGTCCACACATTGAGTTACTTAGGGAAGCATCTGTGTGATTCCCAGTGCTCTCAGCAGGACTTGCATTATTGGCTGACTTTTTAAGGGTTTGTTTTCTCCATCCCAGTTAATAGAAGAGATGCTGTAGTATATAGTGAAGTTGGAAAGTGCTTTGAGCAACCTGATGTGGTGAAAGGTGTCCCTTCCCATGACATGGGGTTGGAACTACGTGATCTTTATGGTCATTTCCAAACCAAACGATTCTGTGACTTTATGTGACTTTTGTAACCTTTATAACAACCATCAAATAAAGGAATAAAGAAAGGAGATTGGGGAGGAAGGGAAAATGGGGCTGAGAGGAATATTTTATTTATTTTTTTGGTAGTTGCTAGAAGCTGAATCAAGTAGAAGACTGGAACCTGATGCTGCCTATGTGGGCAGAAGGCGTGCTCTCCTGGCTGCCTAGGCTGTCAAACAGTGGAGCCCATACTGAATACTGGGGCTGGCCCCCTGACATCTGTTACGAAGTAGAACTGTAAAGCACATCCTTTATTTGTGTGCAATGGGATGACCAGTCTGTGTTCCTTTTAAGCCATGTGCGTATTAATGACACAGTAGTAGTATACTTCATCCAAAAATGACGATATCCCTATGGAGCAGGGGAGGAAAACCCCTCTCGTCCTGTGCTACCAGCCGCTCTTGCTGAGGTTTGGGCTCTAACTGCAAAACTGTACCTCCATGAGTGGTTAAAGGGATTTGGAATCTTAATTCAGTATTTTTGTGAGATGAAATGTGTATATGTGCTGTATCATCAGTATTTTAAAATAATTTAAACTATATAAAAAGCTCTTTTTACACAGTTTCGACAGATAATAAATACTTCATAAATACGTCAATACTTCAAATACTTCATTTCCTTTTTGTGTTTTTCCACTTACTTTTTCACAAACTCCGGACTTGACTGTTGCTAGCTCTGCAAGGAAAGGGCAAGGCATATCCTCACCCATTTCTATGCTCAGCTATAACCATAGACTTTGTATTTCCTTTATATGAAAGATTGCTTCCAGGTAGTGCTTTGGGGTAACCACACTAAATGAAATATGGAAGAGAGGGAGGACCTGGATCTGATCAGCTGCAGAATGGAACCAAAACAGCCCCCCCTATGTTTGGAAAAAAGATTATTCTGTTTTCTGATTTTCAGAATAAATAGATTCCAGGTGAATCTGATGTGCTCAGGAAATTCCCTTTTCCCTAGTGATGGATTGAAAACTGGTATTTTTAGCCAGTATCTTAAGATCTTTTGTAGGAACTTCAGTTGCTGCGTGAGAGTCATGTCATATACTAAATTGCTTAAAAATACAGCATTTTCTTTGCAGTTTGGGGCAATGGAGCTGTGCCCAAGAATCTGATGAGTACTTTTTCATCCTGGAAGGCAGTAATGCCAAGCTTTCATGCACACTAGTATGGATAATA